AATGGGTAGCAGATAGCTAATAGATTAAAACCAACAAAATTTGCTGATCGATATTTGAGTAAGAAACAATCACATGTCAAACCATATAGATTAAATAGCTATTAAATAAACATGTCATTTTGACGAATCGTATGTTAGTTTCAATTAAATAGAGGGATGAATTAACCATTGACTAAAGGCGAATAATATAGAAAATAACCAATTAAAATGCTTGTCCAGAAAGATAGTCTAATGAAATAAACCAATCACAAAGATAAAATTGACTTACAATCCATCCTTCTCTCCTAATTGTATGTTGATTGGTTTATTGAAGATTGATCGATAGGCTCTGCCTTCAAGGTAATATTGCAAGGTAGATAGGTAAAAACAAAATGTATTCATGCCTCAGTCTCATGGTCCAACTCTTCGGGGCTGTATACACTAACACCTTGTGCCCGTGTCAATTTTCAGGCCGCCCGCTTCTGTCGACCGCCTTGTGCGCCGAGCTGTCACGCGCCAAGGTAACAATAAAGTAAGCATATATTTTTTTTGACTTTGTGCTAGCCTTGCCTTGGCCTTGCGCTATACACATTGACGTGTCTATATGGTGGCGTGCCTTAATGTTGTACATATCAGCACAGCAGACCTAGGCCCAGTAATTTTTTTCTCTCTAAACTATTGTATAATAAAGCCTACGTTCATCTTTTAGTAAAAGAAACATATTTGCTTGAGTTGAATATATATATTTATTAGTTTTCATCTGATGCTAATGACAGTTATGAGTGTATCACATGTTCAGTTCAAGATTATATCTGTTCACAACAACTTTATCAAGCTTGGCAACTATTGGATATGTACAACTACATAAAAAAGTGAATCATGTTGACTAAGTCAGTTGGAAAGTGTATTTTAATTAGTAGTTTCAGAAGTCGATGTATATTTCATTCGAATTGTGTACAATGATACCAGGGGAGGATCTTTTACAATGGATATAATAAATGGGAAATATTAAAAAAATATCTGGATTACCAATGCGTTGACAGCTTAATAATAATAATGGGGCAACTATGTAATGCCCTGAAGATGAAATGCCATCCATTATTCAGATTGCCTAACACATTTGTGATGAAAGAAATCTTATAATATGATGACTTCGTGTTATTAGGGGAAAATTACTTTTATCAGAAGATATCTGCCTCACATTATTGTGGAATTTGTTGATATTTATAACTTCTGTGTGGTGATTATCTGAACTTTGACTTCTGAAGGTGCCTACGTGGTTATCTTTTTGATCATAAATAAGATTGTGTTATTGTAACTAGAATAGAAATATGCTTACACAAATTGAGTTGTTCATTGTATTTATTAATTTTTTTTCGAGGATTCTTACACCTTTGGAATGTTACCAACTAATTTGCATATTGTAAATGTTTCCCTAATGTTATAAGTTGATCTAAAACATTCGTCGTAGTACGCTGGTCACTTGTTTACATTCACATCTACTGTGAATGAGATCGCTTGATTAGACATTTTGGAATTTTCGCTTATGCCCCACTAGTTTATCATTGATCACTTGAAAGTGTGTGTAGACGCAAAATGTGTTGTAAGGTGTTTCATAAAGCTGTCGCACCAAGTATGATATATCGTTCGCCGAAATGTCTGACCTCAGTTGATATGTTAGATCCTATTGTGGAAACCTAGACGATGTTCGAGGATTAACGTTGATGTTATTTGGTGGGTGGTAATTAGCGATAGAGTCATGTGGTCTAATTTGTCAAATGGATAGCTGTTTGACGTTTGAAATGAAGAGTATTGGATATAGGTCTCAATGGGGACATCATCACTAACTACGGACTGCACCTGATGAGTCCCGAATAGGACGAAATGCTCATCTTGGATTCCACCGCTAATCACTATCAACCAAGTTACTTCAAAACATTTGATTGTCTTTTTCATGAATAAAATAGATTTTGCACGCATTTATTTCAACCTTGGAGAGCGTTTTACCATCTTTTTTTTAGAAATGATAAGTTGTATAAAGTAAGATTGAGACGTTTTGGGCAATAGGATTGCGATGTTTTTTGAAAGGGAATATTGGACGTAGAATTCTGTATTTATTCCTCACAAACCATTCCATCATTTTTATAATGCCAAATTTGATACGTGATTTAAATGTGGGAAACCACCCATTTTTATCCACACTATTCATTCACTAAAACATTGCTGACTGGCATGATTTCTAGTGGTAAATGTTTGACTCTTAACGTTTGGTTTTAATGGATTTTCTCACGTTGGCGATTCTACATAATTTAATTGATAAAACACAAACTCAGTACATTGTGAGCACCAAGGGGTGCTACTAGCTGATATGGGTGGAGGTTGGAAGTCAGTCTCTGTAATCTTTCATATTCCTTTCTACAATTACCCATTCTGTTTCGCTCTTATACTTGTCAAACTCTATTGATTCTCTTCACTCATCTTCTTGTCTACCTCTGTGTGGTATTTGGAAGGTGGCAACTCGAACGGTGCACTTCGGTGCCAAGTTCTATGTTGAATCCAGACAGACAGACCAAGAGGTGCACTACATAAAATCTTAGTTTGTGCGAGGGTTTGGGTATTGCCCAGGCTGAAGTAGGCGATTATTTTAAGGGACCACCATAAATTTGGAATCGCAATTTTCCAGCTCCCCTTGGTAGAACTCCATGACTAAAAATTCGTTTGTAAGCGCCAGGCCTTCAGATTTGCCTCTTCACTTTCATGAGGGACACCGCTGTGATGGCGATAAATCGGACTATGAAGCCGCGTGGTTACGTGGGAGCATTTCGAGAGGAGGATTGAAGCCTGCTTACCTTCGGCCGTACGGGTCGTGTTACACTTGCCCAGCCACCACCTTCGATGGGCAATGTTAGATGAAATATGATGAGTCAGGCTGGAAAGGAGCTAGTGGTGGTCAGACCAAAACATGGCTTTATCAGTCAGTGAAATCCATAACAGTTAGTTTGAGCCGGCCATGTGTGGAGGTGTAGACTTTCTGACTGACTGGTTGAGATGCTAAGTAGCAATTACGACTGGAGACAATTGATGTCTCGAAATCGTTGTCAGTGTCTGACTGAGGTGCATTCACTCCTTGTGATTTATAATATCCAATAAAATTCTATTGTTCTTCCACATTACTATTCTTTTTGCCTCATATTTCTGTTTATTATCCCTTTTGTTGAATCACTCTTTACTCTCTTCTCTTGCTTTTTGTGGTACAAGGAGGGAGTGTGGCAACTCGAATTACTTCACATCTGTGCAAAGTTCAACATTGAAACCAATCAGTCAGACTAGGACGTTCATTGGGACTTGAGTTGCTCAGTATATGGTATAGATCTGCTAGCAAATTCCTAATGTTGGAGGTTAGGTGTAACGGCATTAAGTTAATTCCCTGGGCCATATGGTAAGCCAGCTTTTCAATCCGAGAAGGGATTAGAAAAAGTCAACTTTTTGGATGTCAGTAATCAATGGTAACGTACACGTTCGGGTAAGCCTTACTTGACTGACCACATACAGTTGTCCTCTTGTCTTTGAAGTCATCTGTTACTTAATGTAGAATTCTTGTAATTATTCCGCTGAAAATACTATTCTCTAGACATTTTTCAACTACTAATTCACTGACAATTGCTAGCGATTTGAACCCGACAGCATTGATCCTAGCTATGCTAAAATCCCACTGCTAACTTCATGTAGGGGCTGTCAGTGTCAGTATCATGAACCATATTGTATAGCTTCAGTCGCGAATTCTATAATTATCTCGAGTTTTGGATATTTGTTGTATATTTGGAAAATGCGTACAAGGTGGAAAATTAGTTGTTCGCATAACCTCAGCAGGGTATTATAGTGAGTTTACAAGTCTCATCCTACGCGGTGTCAGGACATGTCCACCTGCCAAACCCGACCCTGAATGGGGTGCAGACAAATAACCTCGGTGATTCTGGTGTTCAAGTAAGGGAAGTAAGCCAGTCTGAAGTGTGTGGTACATTAGGCAGAAAACTGTTGCCCAAAAAGTTTGTGCATCCTAACCATGTAGAAAAATGACAGACACATGATTTTTCTGCTTGTAAGTTATTTGATCACATGACTTTAGATCAGTCTTTGTAGTCGTCGTTTACTTCATTATTCTGCCATTTTTATATTCTTTCTGTATACCAGAGTAGCATTGTGTATTTTTAATAATTTCCTTTTTTGGATGGTGTTTTGTAGTGAAACAGCTTGAAATGATGCTGATTCTTTTGTTGTTGCGAAGATCAGTCTGTCTTGAATAGAATACTGTGTAGTTTGCAGTAAATTTTTGGGGTGTGGTTCCATCTCTTTTAAAAAAGTTTGCTGTAAAACTTCATGATTTATTGAGTGACAATTGTTTTATGAGGACTATCTGCTTTCAAAAATGCATTTCGAAAACTATTCACCAGACATATCGAATAACTCATATAAAAGTAGCCATGTAGGTAGGTGTCGACTGCTTAGTTGGGTAGTCATCAGGATGCTAAGAACCAATGGCTTGAGACAATCGCAGACGTTATGTCTCAAAATCGTTGTCAGTGTCTCAGTTGCATCTACTCTTTGTAGTCTCTCAGATTCGCATGTTTATCCATGTTACAAGTCTCCATTTGGGTATATTTCTGCTACATTTGTGCTATATAGAGAGAGTGTGGCAACTTGAACTGCTGGTCCCCTTCTATGCAAAGTATTATATTAAACATTGGTCAGTTCTCATGTTAATGGTTGGTATTGTGCACTGTTTTCATCCTCCTAACTGACATAAGTTAAATTCTTGTGCAGATATTGGTAAGCTGCATTTTGTATGTGATAGTTGTTAATGGTACTACCTGACTACGGTAATCTATTAAGATGGGGCTGGGTTGGTGTTAGGGAACTAGCAGTTTGAAGTTAAACGCCTAGACCAGCCCAGTGAGCCACAGCCCGTTAGAACTTTTAAACAGTTGTTTTGATGTCTTTATCTGTGGCATACCTATGAACTTACCATGGGTGACGAGGCTCGGGATACTCTAGGAGGTAAGCATTTTACCATTCCGTCGGAATCCAGTGGCACATGAGTTATAACTTCTGTTAGCTTGCAGCCACGATACAATGTCATATCCTTGTTTTCGACATAGAACTTTGCACAAATGTGCGGAAGTTCAAGTCGCCACACTCCGTGTAGCACGCGAAGCAAGAGAAGAAAGTACAAGAAAAGCATAATAGAAACAGTGAGCAGAGGTGTGAGACAAAGGAGTAAAAAAAAAAAACAAAACAGTTTCATTGGAGATCATAAGTCACAAGGAGAGGATGCATCTGCGCCACTGAGAACGATTTTGAGCCATGTCACCAATTGTTTCCAACCATAGATTTTTACCGTCCCGAGGACCCCAGCCTGGAAGTCTACACCTTCCTACGTGGCTTAGACCAACTGTTGTGGATTTCATTGACTGATGCCAAGTTTTTGTTTGACCGCCGCTAGCTTTTTTCCAGCCTGACCCTATATCCGCTAAC